TATATATATATTCTCAGAAAGTAGTGTTTGGATCTACATCTACAGCTCACTAAATTTTGGAGTCAATATAAAGTGGCTGCAATTATTTGCCATTAGTTAACAGAGAAATAGCTTTAATTCTGTCAATTTTACATATATTGAGCTAAAATCTTGGCATAAAAGAGACGAGAGTCTTCCTCAAAATATACTCTGAGCGTCAACACATCTCAAAACATCTCATCATACAATATGTATTTCATTTACCAGGATTGATTGAATTTATTATGTGCAATATGCGTTTATTTGAAGAAATCCAGACATGTAATTGATGAAGAAATGCCTTGAATAATGTTAGCAGAGCAAATTCCCCTAATGTTGCACTCTAAACCACATTTATTTCAATATTTATTTTAAACAGTGATTCCCTCATTAATGATTACATTAAAGCCCAGAGCTACATGTATCTCTTTGTGCCATCGCTGATTAGGGATTTATGTCTCCTGCCACTAATATCTGCTTCATGTTTGATCGTGTTCCAGGAACTGTTCTCAGATTACACCTGTGAGTTATTATAAGGAACATTTTTATCAGAAAACGTTCAATAAAATAACTTATGCAGTTTTTTTTCTGTGYAATTATTCGTATCAGCTCATGTTTCGATCGAGTTATCACGTTGTTATCTACAGCAGGTCAGTCACATCGACAGCAAATCTTTGCAGAAACAGTTTCATAATTTATTCAGCATCAAGCTATCAGTGGTCATGAGCAGAAATTCAAGCCGGTCTGTTGGGCAAGGAAACAAAATTGAGAAAAATAATCATCTTTAATCCCCTTACTGTTTGTTTTAATGCTGCTACATTTCATGAATATTAAACTCACACAATGACAATGGATATTCATTAAACTGTGATTATTTTTTATCGCACTTGATTTGGGTTTATTCATAATGCGCCTAAATTACTCTCAACTAGTCGCTGAATCAGCCACTGATTTACCCCCCTTATCATCCCGAACAATGTACTATTTATTTATTTTTTATAATTAGTTTCACAACACTACAACACCAAGATAATTAATATTTTTATGTCTGTCTAAAGTTATGAAATGATGGATTATATTAATTACACTTCCCTCGCGTAAAACTCATCTTAAATTAACATCAGCTGAAAGAGGGACAAACACACAGTTTACTCTGTGGCAGATGGGAGAAAAACCTCAAAAAAACATCTGCAGTTTCTGTTAAACTGAAGTTGTCTTCCTTTTTCTGATTTTTTTCTTAGAGCGATTAGAAATGTACTTTCCTCATTTCGTGAAAAAATCGATTCATTCTGAAACTCTTTTACAAGCACTGATGCATTTCATGTAACTTTTACCTGATTTTATCTAATTTATTTATTCACAAATGTTTTCAAGTTGCATCTTTGCACCTACAAATTTTGCAAGAGATTGCCTTGCATTACTTTCAATGTTTGATCAAAATGACTAAATTTCTGTCGTTTTTGTCAGCTCTCTCTTATTATTTGACTGTCAGTCAAAGAATGCCCTGCCTTTAAAGTTCTGTTTGATTTTATTGCACTTTATGTGTGCTTTGCAGTTAAGTTACTTGATAATGATAGCAATATTGAGGAGAATTGTATTTTTCCTTGTTTGCACCAGGACTTTATCTGTGTAATGATGATGCAAAATTAGCTAGATATAATGCTGTTTTTATTCCATTACTCCTTCTGTACTGTAACATTTCCATCATTTCACTTTCCGAAGCCTTAAATACATTTCAGAGWACCCATGTTGTATTAGGATAATAAAGGCTATAAGCATCCATATAATTAAATATAGCTCCACACCCTCAGCTTATTGATTRTCTTTAAGATTTGCCACCATTTAACAGCATCCTTGGGTTTTTACCTGCTTCCCTTTTATGAAGTCAATGTGTTTGTTGTTGATTTAAAACTCATCTAATTAATTATTCAAGGGTATTATTTTCTACGCTGAATTCATTTCTTGCATCAGCGATGCCAGTAATGGCTCCCAGAGGATTCTGAAGTGCCACACTTTTACCTCTTMTGCTGAGAAGACAGTGTGGCAAAGAACTCAGAATATCTCAAGGACTTGGCATGATTAATAACATATTACTGCGTAGATCAGGTCTGCTGTTTGCATGTTGCAAGGTTGGTTTGAAATTTGCACTAAAGTTGGGTGAGAAATACTAGTTTAAACTTGTGCAACTCTCTTTGCTTTTGCATTATTAGATGCTTATTGACATTTAGCACAACCTACTTTTTTCACATTAAATTAGACTTTTAAGTGTTTTTATTGGCAGCTTTAGTCATAAAATCTGTGGCAAGTTGTGTGTATGTTTACACTGTGACATGGATGTTATTTGTTAACTGATTAAATCACCTTTAAGGTTGCAAAGTATGGCGTGCTGTTTGTAAAGTTACACAGTCAAATATTACCACTAATATTTTTGTTTTATTTAGCCTTTTATAAGAAAA